TGTTGCATATATATAGGGTGAAAACTTGTTAGTTGTTAAAAAGAGAAACGAAAAATAGAGGAACTAAACGAAAACGTAACACTTTGCATAGATCCTTTGAAGAAAAGAGAACAGGTTATAGCAACAAAAATAAGAATGATTTGTTGATATCGTTTTCTTTTGTTTAGAAAGTAGAGTATTCTACAAGTTTTATTGCATCTCTCAGCACAAAAAGTAGATGGATAGATGGGTGGATGGGTGGGTTTTATAGGTGGTCCAGGTGGATGGATAAATACGCGTTTTCATGCATGAACGACTGGATAGAAAGATGTATGAATTCATAAATGGGTGGATGGATGAAAATGGATCCAGAACTCTGCAACACGAATTATGCCATGAAAATAGCGTTTTTAAGCATTTTGATCTATTTTCTGTTTTTGAATGAAATTGGACCAACTTATCTGACTCTATGATGATAAATTTGAATTGGACGAGTGAAAAATCATACGTCTAGTGAGCTGGTAGAATAATTTGACTTTTTATAACTTTCGTCGATCGTAAATGACGTTTTTTTGTGAATTTTGACCTGTTTTTTTAATTTTCCCGAAAACTCAGACCCGTTGGGCCAAATCTGAAGGCAAATTCGGATTCAGCGGAAAAAAGTACATGGAAATACATGGGTCTGAATACCAGATCCGATACTCTTTTTTTTGTAGGGCTGTGTTATTATTGGAAGAAAACTACGATTCAAAAACATTGAAGTAAACATAAGTATATTGAAAGTGTTTAATAAAAAAACGAGTTAAAGGTTTTTAAGAAGAAACTCAAAGTTTAATTTAGTTTTGTTAGTAGAAATAGAAACATAAGTAATTAATAAAAATACTGAATAAATATTAAATGTTAATGATGATTGTTAAGTATAATAGCATGTTTATATTTCGCATTGCAATACCAAAATTATGACTTTTTTAAGTTTTAGAAATTTCTCGAGAATTCCCGGGAATTCCTAGTCGAGAATTCTCGAGACCCGAGAAAAAAAGTAGGCCGAGAAATCAGAAACCCTATGTATAATACAGGCAATACGCTGTATAAGCTATATTTATATTAAAAATGCGTTTAGTATTTACAGATTATAAAATAAGTATTATTCCATCATTGCAGAAACTATACAGAACAAACGTTTGGTAAATTAATTTTAAAAAATTATCATTTAACAATATCTCCTGTTACAGCATATGTTTATCATTAATTATTTTTTTAAAGAAAACATTGTATTTTTACCTATAGATCTTCAATTTCATCAAAAGCATTCATTCATTCATTCTCTTTAGCCTTCCATAGTATTTTCTTCATGTATGTAAACATTTTATGTGCAGATTATGTAACTTTTTAATACACGCTGTTTAAAACAGGACTTTTTGGTCTTTTTTCTTAAAAACAAAACTCGAACTAATATCTTAAAAAAAAGTTGTGACTTTAAATATTCCAGATTTGTGCTCCCTATCAATTTATTTGAAAACTAATCAAATAACGTGCACGACGGAAGACCACAGATTCGTGGACTCAAAATACGCAGATTTAAGCTAATTCACCTATATCCAAAATCGCTAAGTGTTGGTGCTAAATGCCTCGAAGTTCGTGAAATTTTTTTGAATTTTGTAAATAACTCGAATACGTATTATTCGATTTTGATTATTTTGAGAGTGTGGACTTTTGCTTTCAATCTACACATTTTGGTGTTATACAGAGTGTTTTTTTTTTTTAATTTACAACTACAAAATTGATGTACGGTGATAATATCCGTTCAACTTTTTCCTCTTTCGGGCAATAATGACAATTATTTTTTATTTCATAGGTGATACCATTTGGAAGTTTTTGGGCCTCTTCTAGAATTTTGATTAAATGAGCGGTTTTGGTACAACAAAATATTTTTTAAATGTATACATTATCTTGCCATCCATATTGATACTTAACAAAGTGCTACTAGGCTCTGATTTTGTAGGTTGACTGTAATTTCCGTTTGATCTTGTTTGGGATAGCATTATTATTGGCCCTGTTGTTCTACTCAATAGTATTAATGGGGACTGATGTGCCGTTATCTCTCAGAACTAACATGTGTTTTATGCATGATGGCGCTCTACCACATTTCACTGTAAATATCCGGCAGTATCTGAACCAAAGATTCCCTCGTTGATGGATCGGTAGAGGGGATAATGTTTCTATTAACTGCCCTGTACGTTCACCAGACTTAACACCTTGCGACTATTATCTTTGGGGCACTCTGAAAACAACAGTGCATGATTCCTCGAAGTTACCTAGATAGGTAACATTGAACTGAGTTGTGGAGGCATATCCAAAATGTTATAAATGTTTTAAAAAATAGCCCTTAGAACTGCAAAGGGTGTCCTTTAACTTTCTTCGCCGAAATAACCTTTGTTGTAGAAACAACGGTGGTCATTTTGAACAGTTTTTATAATAAGTTGTACTAAATTTAATAACCTCAAATTTGTTACCTTTATCTCCAGCATTTTTTATTGTATTTGATTGTTTTTATCAATTATTTCAATAAAATTAGGCACGTTGTAAATAACGCTAATTCGTCGTATGTGTGTATCCATATCGAAAAATGAAGTAACATATACATAAAGATCAAACTGAAATTACAGTCAACCTACAAAACATCAGTGATTATTAGCACTTTGTTAAGTATTGTAATATGGGTGGCAAGATAATGTAGACGTTTAAAAAATATTTTTTTTTTACCCAAACCGCTCATAACAAAAACTTCCAAATGGTATCATCTATCAAATAAAAAATCCCTAGTTGTCATTATTAGAGACCGCACTTCATTCGCACATGACGTCATTATCAGGGGCGGACTCAGGACGCTAAGTTAAACTCTGTAGAAACTGAGGTGCAAACACCATATAAAAAGTAAAAATCAAAGTCTTACCTTGTACTAACGATTTATAATATCCACTATGATTCATATTAAGTTTATTAGTTTACAAAACACTCTACACTGAGCTCTACACCTATTCACTTGCAGTGCTGAAGTAAAACTGAATAAGTAACTGTAAATGTTCAGGCGTTAGGTTGTGCCGTTTATCGCTAAAAATCCATTTAAGTTTCGAAAACGAACGTTCAACGTCCACAGATGTTACTGGGGCATATTTAAAGTATATATAATTTTTAACGGATGGCTTATTTAGGGTGGATTCAGAAAAATCTACTTCTTTACCTTCAAAAAGATCTACTAAGCGACATACAGTTAGAAATCTCGGATTGTTCTGCAAAACGGTGTCAATTTTTTTCTTCACATGTTCAGCACTATGTCCTGACAACTGGGAAATAAACTGTCGCAAGTCTAAAATATTATTTACTGCGTTATTTATTGAATATTCTGATGATGTCACAGTAACTTGAAGACGGCGTATAACTGACGGTATTCGTGAATAATTATTCATTTCATTTTAATTATAATTAAAATGTATGTATGGTAAATCTTCACGAAGTGTAGGATCGTTAAATATCCTTTGAACACATAAAATAGAAGTAGCATCACTTGAATCCAATTGCTGGTATAACACTTTTTATGCCGTTAAAGTGTACGTAATAATAAGATGTTGCGTCTAACCACGTACCCCAACGTGTCAAAACAGGTTCTGGAGGTAGTGGTACGCCTGGAAGAGTTTCTCTGAACAAATTTATCCGGGCTGGTGCTTTCAAAAATATTTTCTTAACATTAACTATCAATTTGTTGACATTGGGATAGCACTCTCTAATCGTCTCGGCGACTCTATGTAATCCATGTTCAGCGTGGATTCTGCAGGCACGGTGACATTGTTATACTTTCCATTAACACAGTTTTGCAAAAATTGTCTAAAGTTCGTGTTATTTAATTTGTTCATTGGAATATTACGCCCAACCATGACTTTTATCAAATCGTCGTTAAATTGTTTTTGACGTTCACTGGTGGTCATACTGTTACTTTCTCGAGCTTTGTGTTTTTCTGAGTTTATGTGTTCCGCAATTCGTGTTTTATAATTCCACGATATAACACATTCACAAGTTTTGCACCTTAGTTCTGCTCCGTCGAATTCTAAATCGGGGTAATCTTTTATCCAGTTTTCGACCGTAGAGCGAGCGGGAAGTCGACGCGACATTTTTACAGAGACAATAAAAACTAACACTTATAATTAAAAATATGCATATACATCGTACTGTTACTGGACAAGACGCGAGGTTTCCTTACGTATGATTAGCATGCAACTGATATGATGTTGATGATTGATGCATGACTTGAACAGCTCCGTCTAATAGGAATGAAATCCGTTCCCCCCGCCCGTCGACCGACTACCACGACCTTGACACGTGCGGGGTAAATAAACATGGCGCATTTGTCGATTAGCCGGCACTATTATTATTTTGTGAAGAATGGATGAATATTTAAATATTGAGATCGTCAGCTGAAGTACGGACCTGAGATGTGCGAACGAAGTGCGGTCTCTAGTCATTATTGTTCGAAAGAGGAAAAAATTATGAATGGATATTATCACCATACATCAATTTTGTAGGAGTTTTAAACTTTAAAAAAATTTGTAGATTGAAAGCAAAAGTGCACATCCCAAAAATAATCAAAATCGATCAATACATATTCGAGTTATTTACAAAATTAAAAAAAAATTAACGAACTTTGAGGTTATCTAGCGGCCAAACGAAGCGATTTTGGATATAGGTGAATTAGCTTAAATCTGCCTATTTTGAGTCCACGAATCTGTGGTCTTCCGTTGTACACGTCTGGGACACCCTGTATATGCATTGACAAAATTCATTAGAACAAGTATTTCAACACTCGGCATCTTGAAAACACAAAATGATATACTCATTGTTCATAGCGAAATATTATTGTCCCTAGGATTTATCGTACGTTTTCGTTTAAACACCTTATACGAGGTCATACTTCAGAATCGAAAACATTTCATAACTCTACGCTCGGTAAGACAGAACCCGATACTAACCAGACAAAAACGTGGGTCCCAAATTGATCGTTATCGATGCGAACCATATCATGAACGTGCCGAAGAGCACACACTGAGGCGAATCCATGAGCAGCGGCGCGTCGGTCATGGCGACGTCGGAGTCGTCGTCGGGGAATACGGGGGAGTCGTTCAGCACCGTGGTGAGCATGTTGACGGTGGCGACGGTCACCAGAAGCAGGAAAGCCGTCTCCACCAGAGAGCATTTCTGTACAGGCTGACAGTGTAATATCGAGATTCCTAATGGTAGCAACAAGGCAGCTCTGGCGCAGTCAACTGCTCCCTGGTGGAATAATAGGCCTTGGGACCACCTGGAAATAAAGAAAAGTGCGTTAGTAATTTGTGTCGAATTGATTTTTGACACAGAAAATTTCACAGTTCTATTTTGTAGTGTATATCAAATGATTTTAAAGCGAAAAAATATCCGGACACATTTCTCTCCACATACTTCGTATGTATCCTGACATTATATAGGTTATTTATTTAATTTCTTTCAAAATTCTATTTCGTACAATATAAAATGCAAGTTACAAATATAGAAGGTTTATGATTATAAATTTGAGTTATATGTAGGAAAATACCTACGTCTTATCTTTTATTATTTTGGACAAATAAAATTAGTAACTTTAGTTTGGTCTTTCCGATCTCAATTGAAGAACCAAGAGGTTGGCAGCATGTACCAGGTTTGGTCGCTGACGCATCAACTTGGCATTGAAATATTTGAAAAACTTGTTCCCATATTTATTTAGCCATACCCATATACAGGTCTGATCGACCAGCTGAATTGCTCTATTTTGTGAAGTACTGATGTTTTTATATTTTTTTTTTGTTCAATTTAGTTAAGGTTTTCTGTTCTACTTTATCCTGTAATTGGGACTTTCTCCTGTTGGGTATGTAATTTCTAAATAAATAAATAAATAAATTATACCAACGATCTGGAGGTACTATTCAAATATGTTTGAACAGTAGATGAGTTTTTTTAATGCCTTCAGTCAATATGTACCCACTGCTTCTTTAACCTCCTCATCTTTTCTAAATCGCTGTCTTTCCAAAGCGTCCTTCAAATGTTTCTTTGAGTATTGTCAATTTTATAAAATGACCTCCTTATTTTCTTTTATACAGGGTAGCCAAATGAAAACGAAGCAGAGCCATTTTCAGGAACTGCGTCAAGATTGTAGAAACACGCTCAGACCCGCCGTTTTAGATTAAAGGGGGGCATTCTTTGCTGGTATTTTTGTCTCCGCCACTTTCACCCCAACATATTTAAATGGTTTTGGGGGTTGAGTAATATTTCTTTTGAAAGCTCTTACAATTCTCTTTACAACAGACTTTAAATTTTATAATTCCGCACAATACTTTGAAAAAAAATTACATTTTAAAATTTAAATTGTGTTTAGTTGCTTACTACTTAGTTGATTAAATGTTCAAACTGATGACCGTCTGCTTCCATACATGAATAAATATTTTGTTCGAAACGTTCGCGCACATTCCGAAGCATTTCCGGAGTGATTCGACGGCGTATTCTTTGACGTAAATCTTTCGGCGACCCTGGCTGTGTTTTATAGACTTTACTTTTTAGAAAAAAAAAATGAAGGAGCGTTAAATCCGGTGTTCGTGGAGGCCACTCAATGCTGCCTCTTCTTTCAATCCAATTCCGTAGAAAACATTGGTCCAAATACTGACGGACAATTAACGCATAATGTGGAGGAGCACCGTCCTGTTGAAAAATCAAATGATCTTCATCATACTCTGGAACATTTTCAATAATATCAATCAAGGCAGGGTCAATAGCGTCTTCTAGTAATTGCAAATACATTTGGCCAGTCAAATTACTAGGTAGAAAAAAATGATCCACCAGCCGGTCACCGAAAATTCCAGCCCATACATTTAATTTTTCTGGTTGCTGTGTATGCACCTCGTGAAAAACTCTTGGGTTTGAGTCGGACCAATAGCGGCAATTGTGACGATTCACCGTCCCGTTCAACAAAAAACTGCATTCATCAGAAAAACAGATGTTAAAAAGGAACTGTGGATCGTTCCCTGCTCGCTCAATCATTATTTCGCAAAATTCATAATCATCCTCATGAAGTTCCTGGATTAAATGTATTTTGTATGGATGGAATTTATTCTTCTTCAAAATGGTTTGTATGCTAGTTCGATTGATCCCAGACACAGATACCAGCTGCCTCGTACTTAATGTAGGATCAAGATGAACTTGTCCAAAAACTGCAATTTCAGTAGCTTCATTAACTATAGGTTTTTCTATTTCTCGTTTTTTATTGGCTACGTTCCCTGTCTCTTGGAATTTTTTTACTAACTCTAGAACATACTTCCTTCTGACATGTCTATCTTGATGTTGTTCATTAAATAGCTGAGCTGTTCTATTCGCACATTTATTGTTCATAAAGTAAAGCGAAATGATATCTACTCTCCGCAATGGAATAAACCATATTGTTTAATTTTCAAAAACACAATTAACTAAACTACCAACCAACGCTTCCAAATAATGCTGGAAAATAATTTGGAGTCCACTAGTTTTACGTTCATTGTGTGTGTATAGCATTCATTTCTGTTTTTTACAATTGTGTTTTTTTTTACGAAAGTGATAACAAATGTAAAAACCAATGTAACGCAAGAAATACTAAATTTATACCATTGGCGTACTTTAAAAGAAATATTACTCAACCCCCAATGCCATTTAAATATTTTGGGGTGATGCTTACCCTTGCTTGGGGGTGAAAGTGGCGGCGTCAAAAATACTAGTAAAGAATGTCCCCCTTTAATCTAAAATCGGCGGGTCTGGGCATTTTTCTACAATCTTGACGCAGTTCCTGAAAATGGCTCTGTTTCGTTTCCATTTGGCTACCCTGTATAGGAAAGTTATGAAAATCTGAACTCAGATTCGTGTTTTTGAAAAACCGAAATGGAGTATCTAGATAAACAATTTTTTTAAGTGAGGTATAATGCAATGCATACTATAAAGTACTCAGACAGGAATTCAATTGTTTGTGTTTTAGTTCACTTAAATTTTTCCTTACTTTTTCAAGTTTAAAAGGTTCTGATTTCAGTGTTATTATGTAAGAGGTGATTCCATTGTACTAAAAGTTAAAAAAAATGCAATATTAGAAAACGTATAAAAGTCAAATAACGAACAATCGACATAAAATACCTTTCTATTAACTTTTATTCAGTAACTCGTACAGCCACTAATTACGCACCAACCAGTTCAACCCCGATATTACTTTTATAGAAATCCCCATCCATTCTCTCCAGAATTACAAGGTCTCTTGAGCATACAACAAAGAAAAGCACTTCTTAGAAATATACCGCGCTATTCTATTTTTGAAGAGTGGTTTCCTATTACCGCCAACAGAGAGAACGGAACGTCCGTCCGGCTAAAGTAGATAACTTCGTTGAGGAAGTTCAACAAATACCAGAGACTGGATTTAATAGTGATGTTCGAGTTAAAAAATTAATTACCGAAGCTTTCGGGCATGAGGGAAATCAGAGGATTGCGAATCGGTTTTAGATAGTGAAATGGAACGGTGAGATATAAATGTTCCGCTTGTTTGGCCTTTGAATAAATAATCCTCCTTTTTTAATTAAGGGAAAATTTCTCTGTTGGCTTTTTGTTGTGACTTTTTGAATTAATGGTAGCTACTTATAGTCCAACTAAATTACACTTGGAGAAAAAAAAA